AAACTTCTCTCTGAGAGCCACAACAACCGTTGCCTACTTCCGGGTCCACCCTCCTCAGCCGAACTCCTACGCGTCATTTCTTAATTCAAGATATCTAAAAGTGTCATTCTGACTAGTCATAATTACATTCGAGATATCTTGAATTGTAATTACGGATGTTTGACCCGTCAAATGACAAATAAAGTGACGTCATTTAAGATATCTTGAATTACATTTTGACTAGTCAAAATGCAATTCAAGATATCTTGAATTGTTATTCTGACTAGTCAGAATGTAATTCAAGATATCTTAAATTAGCATTCTGACTAGTCAAAATGTAATTGTGCCTAGTCAAAACTCAATTTAAGATATCTAGAATGTAACTACAGATAGTCAGACTACTCGATTTTATGTTAAAAGGGCTTGCCATAGACACGGGGAGGGAGAGCAGCTGATGTCACCACTGAGCGTGGTACCAACACAACGGCTCAGGAGCAGGAGCAGAAGTCTCACTTTGAGAAGGTATATCTTCATAAAGTAAGTAAGTAGATTGATGAGCTTTTTGTTAGAGCGCTCCTCTCTTCCTGTCTAAAAACGGTGCGTTGCCCGGGTTACACCTGTGAGAGGCTTTGCGAGCGAGCAGAACAGGTGTTTCTGTAAACTGACACTCGGGCTCACCTACACCGGAAAGCACCACTAGAAGCTGGCGTGAAAGAAAGTCCTCCACCTTTTATTAACTGAAAAGGTTACAGTCACGCATGTAGCAGTTTTTATACAAAACAACCATAGTTTGGGATTTAAATCTCGCTTTTTTCAAAGCTTGTTTCACCTGCTGGTACTGCCTGTGTTCTGCTCCTGCAGATCAGCTCTCTGATAAGTTCTCAGTGGATTGTATGTAAACCAAAGTACCTTTGTCCTTATCGCCTTTTATTCTGTCTGCTGATACCCAAATCCACCCACACTTTTTTTTTTTTTTTAAATTATGATTATTTTGATCAGTAGCTGTCTAGTTCTGTCTCCATGAAACCGATACACTCTGCACAGACCGATGGTGATTCAAAGCATTGTTTTTTGCTGAGTGGATTGCTGTTAGAGGAGTTTTTCCAGTTTTAGATTTGTGTTTAGCTGACAGGTAGCCTTCAGAATGTTGCTTGTGTAAACAGACGTCATGATACATGTTGGGAGCCGAGAGTTTCTCACTTATTGTGCGTTTTCAGACAGTGTGATAGGAGCACATGGACAGCAGGGACTTTATTAGAATAAAGGCCATTTGATTATTTTTGTATCTTGTATTATTCTTTGTGCCTGGGTTCACATTGTGTTTCCATACTTTCACCACTGCAATTCTTTTGACAATTCTGAGTTAATCAGAATATTGCCTATCTGTTCTCAAAATGGAAATGTGTGTGTTTTTAGGTTTGGCAGACAACGGGAAGTTCAGTGTCAGGACTCGAGGCTTGTTAGTGCAAGGACTCCTAACAACAAAGCGGATCATTTTCAGGAATATATCTGTTTTGAATGGAGTTATTTTCCAGGAAAACCACACCAGGACTCTGTAATCAATCATTTGGAGTGTTTCTACAAGTGCAGCCTGAAAGACCGGTGTTTGGGATCAGTTGGACATCAAGATCACATTTTTTTCCTTTTTTGGGGATCTAATATTTGACAAATCAAAACCTTTTTCTGCATTTAGAAAAAAAATGGACTTGTCTGTGCTCCCTTCAACGAGTGAAAACGGCACTCGTTTTACCATCCGCTCAGCCAGCTCTCCCTCTTACATGTTCACGCGCAGGTCAGGCATCAGGAGAAGGGAGACAACTGAAGCTGCTGGAGAACGAGAGAAACGTGGGACAAGCGTAGGCACAAACGATTCAAATAACGATGGGAACGAGAGAGTCAAAGATCAGAGTGAGGAGAAGGATGCGTCAAGCTGTCGACTGACATCAAAGCTGGACCAAAATGGCACGGCGGACAAAACAGCCCTGGAGTATAACACAGATGTCTGTGTAAACTCTGCGCTTGAAAGACGTGGAAGAACAGAGTGGAGATCCAACCTGCCAAGTAGAAGTCAGAGTTTTGAGTGGAGACCAAGAACAAGAAGCCCTATTCAGTGTCCCAGAACTGACTCGTCCATGCTGTCGTCCAAAAGAGAAGCTGACTTCAGTAAAAACACAGGAGGTTCAAAGGAAAGGACAGAGCTTGAGATCAACATGACGGGAAGGGTGACGTCGTCTCTACTTCAAGAAAGTAGCCCTGTGAATTACAGTAGCCTGTTTTTGGACGAAGCCAGCAAGGTAAAGTCTCTCCCTTCTAGGTTTAGGTCTGAGTATGGCCCTGACTCGAGGTTTACAGAGACTTCGTTTGGGCCCAAAGGGGTTCAGAGTATCCAAGAGCGGATACAGAAACTGTTGGAATCAGCTGGCGAGAAGACGACAGGAGGAACCTTTCCCAGGCGGTTCTCAACAGGAGATAACTGCAGTCCGGTGCAAACCAGGGTGTCATTTATCTGGCCTCAAAAGGACGCCAACACTTCGGTGTCTGAGACTTTGGTTTCTCCTGAGATAAAAAAGCCTAAAGGGAAATCTCCAGCGAAGCAGTGGCGAGGATCATTCAACAGCAAATATTCAGAGGACGTTAACTGGAGCAAGGGCATGATGGAAATGGGTACAAAGTCCCTGGACAGAGCAAGAAGCAGGAACACTGTAGCAGCTCAGATCAACTCTCTCAGGGCTACAGGAGAGATTTTTCAAACTGTACAGCCCAAAACTATTTCAGAGTACAGAACCGGACAACTCAAAGGACTGGAAAAGAACAAAGAAAAAGCTGAAGGAGCAATAAAACAAACCAAACCCAAGAGTGTTACAGCTGATGAAGATGTGTTTGACACAAACCCTCAGATTACGCTGAAACCCTTAGAGGAGAATAAGCTTTCAGAGACAGTTCCTTCTTCAGCCAGCGTTCGAAATAAGATCAGTCAGTTCGAGGCTCTGACACAGAAAGTCACAAACGAAGTCCAGACACCGAGATGGACATTTTATACATCGACACAACTCTACAAGGCCCACGATGGGGTGAAGAAGAGCAGGTCAGCGAAAGAAATACGTAAATGCGGAGATAAATGGGAGGGAGACAACGGGAGAGAAAACTGCAGAAAGCTTGGACCAGAGAGGTCTTTATCAGTGGACGAGGTTGGATTAAGATTAGGGAAGATGGAGACAGAAGGAAGAGATTCAGTTGACACAGGCTTCTCTGAGGATTTTGACAAATATTCCAGACTCAAGAAAACGATGCACATTCCTCTCGACGAAGGAACTCAACGACGCAGAAGAATGTTTTATTTTGAGCCTGATAAGTTTGAAAACTCAAGCCCCGAGGATTCGAGCAAGGAAGAGGCAGCAAGCAACAGCGTGCTGCCCCCACATCCAGTCCCCGTACAGCCGCAAAGTGAAATTTGTTCTCCTGTTAGTGACGATGACAAGACTCCAACAAACACCCCTGATGGATTTTCTTTTATTTTTTCTGCTGCACAAACAAAAAAAGCCCCTGCCATTGCAGACGATAAAAACAAAAGCACTTCTGTTATCACGCAAGAAGATGAAATGGTCTCTCCCCTTCTGCCTGCCACTTCCTCCCACAACAACGTCTCAGTCGTTTGTACAACACAAGAGGAGAAAACCGATGAAACAGACTTTCCCTCTTTTCCTCCTGCCACTATCTCCAAAAGCAGCATGTCGGACGTCTTCTATCCAGAAGTTAAAACAACTTACCCGAAGGGGAAGAAGCAGCTGTTGGACCTGAACGCATGGGTGGCAGGTCTGAACCCAGAGTATAAAGGATGGAACGAGTACATAGGTCATTACGAGGATGATGATGAAAGCACGCAGAAAGATGATGATTCAAACTACGATTCAGACTCGGATTCAGGGGATTCGTCTGTGACCATCACCAGTAATAAGAGCCAATCAGATCGGAAGAGTTTCAGTTTGAGGTGGGTAATGCTTGTTAGATCAGAGGTCCTCTTTAAAGCAGCTTGTTTTTTCTCTTCTAATCCTCCGTTTCTTGCCATTAGTCTTGCAGAGCTGTGTAACTTTTCCGGCGTTGAATATGAATCGGATACGGACGTCGATGAGTGGGCGCAACACAACCGGCGCTCTGCCTCAATGAGCTCAGACATTTCGGCCTTCTCCTGTGTGTCTTTGATGCCTGCAGAGGAGCTCGACAAGCTGCTGGAAGACGTCAGGGACCTGGGGGATGAAACTCTGCAGGTACAACGACAACGTGGCAACTTTTGCTGATTCAGCCAGTCAGTAATATTTCATAGACCATCTCAAAGACCCGTCTTTGCTTAATAGTGTGCATTTTATGATGAGCTATAACCAAAATACATTGTATGTACACTACATGTTCTTAAACAAAGGACAAGTACAAGTACTTACGTTTGAGTAATTGCCAATACCCAATACAGATGTAAGTATAAATGAATGCCATGACACTTCTTACTGTTAGTAGAATCTCTGATTACAGATTTAATCTGTTCAGGTGATTTGTATGTTAAAAATCTGTCACGTTAACATATTTTTTCCATTCATTTTTCATTTTTTTCTTTCATTCATTTAAAAGAAACATATCAATTAAAAAGAAAAACATTGAATGAAAAAGAAAATTCTTATAATATCTGCCATTTATTTAAAAAAAAAACTACATAATAACAAACGAGAATAAGAAACGACTTAGGACTGAACAATCTCCAAAGTGAAAACAAAAATATTAGATATCCTTCACATGGCACCGTACTTTCCCAACAATTTTAACTTCATTATCTTTTTAAACATATAAATTGTTTTAGAAATTTTTATGGTAATATCAAGGCAATTTTTTTGATACTAATTATTTTAATTTCTATTAAGAAAGTATAATTAGTTACAACACCACCACCCCCAATAACATTGCTAAAAACCGAGATATAAACAATATAAATACAGTAATATGAAAACAAAATTAGGGAATGGATGAAATTTGCAGCACCACATATAGAGTTGGCAAAAAGTTATTTTTTTTGTAGCGTTAGCTTAGCACCTTCTTTGGCAACCATGCTGCTACTCATTAAGCAGCTTGTTAAGCAGCTTTTCAGGCTCATCCATGACCTGTGGTGGAAGATTCTGATCGCACAGTTTGTTTTGGTCACATCAACTCTTCCCCATTCCCTCCTGTCTCCTCAGAAAAGTGTAGCTTGATGGCAGCAGCAGCCTGGCAGGATCAGCTCGTTGCTGACTAGCCGCTTGCTGCTGGATGGCTGCTGACTCCCTGCGTTCTCATTTTCACCAATTTATTATTTTATTAACTTTTATTTAACCAGGCAAATCCTACAGAGATCACAGATCTTTTTTGCATGAGAGGCCTGGGCCTGAAGGCAGCTTAACATGCATGTTTTTATTCTGTGGGAGGAAACCAGAGTACCCAGAGAAAACCCACGCAAGCACGAGAAGAACATGCAAACGCCACACAGAAAGACCCCAGGTACAGTTGGGGGTTGAACCCAGGACCTTCTTGCTGTGAGGCAATGGTGCTAACCACTGAGCCGTTGTGCTGCCAAATCAGGATCAGGACAGGAGCCTGGATCAGGAAAGCCAGCTAAAACACACACACACAGACACACACACACAAAACCAACTCTGCCACCAACAGGCTGACATTGCTCCTACCACTTTGCTCAACTTTTGAGTATAAGTACATACCCAGTACATCAGACTGATACTGGTACTGGTATCTTTGAATCTCTAGGACTGTGCAACAGTTTTAAACCTCCATTAATTCCTCTCTATTTGCTAACAAGGAGCTAGACTTTCTTGTAACTTTTCAAGTGATCTTGATCAATAGTTGTTATTCTGCTCTGTATGTCATATTTACTGCATGAAAACTGTCCCCTGCCCCAAATTACCCACCTTTTTAAAATTGAGTTCATATTTATGAAAATTAACCTTTCAGTCTTAAACCATCAGGCTTGTTGTCAGTACAATTCAACAGTTAGCATTTGTTATGGTTTAGTAGTGCACTGGTGCACATGGCTTGGTTTGAACATGTTTACAGCAAAGGTCTGATTTATTTCAGCAGAACACCATCGAGCTGCATTTTTTTTCTCCATCAAACCTCATTCTGTGCAGTACAAAGAGTCCAGCTGCTACAGTCACCTGTCTCCAAACTTGTCTGAAATTGAGCACATTTGATTAAAAAAATGAATAAAATAATACCATGCACAAAAAATATTAGCATATATAAGAATTTAAAAATAGCCCAGCACTATGGAGGTCAAATTAAACTAACAGTTAATGCATTAAAGTGGCCCCCACACTGTCAACTTAACAACTCTTCATCATCTTTGCCTGTTTTAGTTTTTTTTTTTTTTTTTTCAAACCAGAAAATATTAACATGGCTTGCATTTTTTTCTTTCTTTCAGGAGTATGATGACATTCAGGTTGTTGTTCTTCATAAGGAGGTTGGGGTAGGGCTGGGCTTCAGTCTGGCAGGAGGAGCAGACCAAAATAAACCCATCACTGTAAGAAAATACTTGTTTTTCTCTCCCACAATAAATGTTTAACTGTCATGACTCATCAGTCTTGTCACCTCTTTTGTTTCCCCCTCAGGTTCACAAGGTGTTTCCTTCAGGTGTTGCAGCCCAGGAGGGCTCCATAATGGAAGGGGATCAGGTTTTGTCTATCAACGGCAATGCACTGTGTGGGAATGCCCACTGGGAGGCGCTACGGAGCCTAAGAAGGGCGAAGGCTCGGGAGATGGTAGTGGTTGTGCTGAGGAAAAGTGATGTCAGTGGTGCTCCGCAGAAGATCGGGCAAAAAAATAATGAGCGAGTAGCACAGACTCAACTGGAAACAGGTTAGAGGCTTTACTATTCTGGGTCAGTTAAAATAACACTTTTGTATGTAGAGCAGCGGTTTAAAGTGACATCTTTTGTCTCCACCTCCTCCAAGGCCAACGGGTGTGTGTGCAGCTGCAGAAGAACAGCAGGGATTTGGGCTTCAGCCTGCAGGGAGGTGTGGGCTCCAGAGAGGGGAACAGACCGCTCACCGTGCAGAAGATCTTCCAGGGTGAGCGGAGCAAATCAGGGCTTCTTCAGACACACTAAAAATCCACCATCGTTATGTGAGACCTGCCTCTAACTAAACATTTTAAAACGGAAGCCAGGTGTGGTCACAATATGAGTAACTTTAGCAAAGTTAGGACCACAGCAATAAAATAAAATCACTCTGAAAGTGGTAGAGGTTTCTTCAATTAAAAAAAAATGCAGACATTTGAGTAAAATTAAAAAATATATATATATATTTAAGTAAACATATGCTGGCACCACATAGAATTCAGTTACAAAAATGTCTGTAAACTGAAAATGATTGTTGTCACTAAATGTGATTAATTATTAAAATTATAATATTAGATGATCAGAAATTATGTGAAACCAGGATTTTATTGTTTACACTGTGCACGATTGGGTTTATTTTTAGACAGCATGGTGACGCAACTGGTAGAGCTGCTGCCTCTCAGCAAGCAGGTCCCTGGTTCAAATCTCGGTCTGGGAGCCTTTCTGGGTGGAGTTTGCATGTTCTCTCCGTGCATGCGTGGGTTTTCTCCGGGTGCTCCGGTTTCCTCCCAACAGACCAAAAACATGCATGTTAGGCTGATTGGTAACTCTAAATTGTCCGTAGATGTGAGTGAGAGAGTGAATGGTTGTTTGTCTCGTTTGTCTCTATGTGTTCCTGTGATGGACTGGAGACCTGTCCAGGGTGTACCCCGCCCCTCGCACAGTGATTGCTGGACATGGGCACCAGCGACCCCCATGACCCAAAATGGAAGAAGCGGGTAAAAGATAATGGATGAATGAATGGGTTTATTTTTAAATTATGTAATCCAGTTTCATCTGATATTTTTTTCACTCTTCATTACTGTCATGATAGTTTTCCCTAGTGCTGTGCTGTGAAATAATTAAAACAAACTTGAGCTTTATTGGGTAATATGCTAACATGTGTAGCTTTACTGGGCGGCTGTGACTGAGTGGTTAGAGCAGTCATCCTCCAAAGCAAGAGTTGGGGGTTCAAATCCACCAGCAGTCACATGCCGAAGTGTCCCTGGGCAAGACACTGAACCCCTCATTGCCTCCGGTGTGTGTCCCATCGGTGTATGAATGTGATAAAGCACGGATTAGTCTCTTTAGAATGATTTGTTCAATTAGCTTTGTACAGATCTAGTAGATTTCTGTATGAATGGGTAAATGAGGACACAGATTGTGTTGTAAAGAGCTTTGAGTGTCTTGGTAAGATAGAAAGGCGCTATGTAAGTACAGTCCATTTACCATCCATTTATATTTTTTGACATTGTTTAATAAATTCTTCATCATTTTGGGATTACAGTAGTCCCTCAATACTTAGCGGGTCAACTTTTGCAGACTCACTCTTTGACGGGTTTTCAACGTAAGATCGTACACAACCCACGATTTGCGATGGGGAAAGACAGACTCCGACCCCGCTCCCTCCTTTCTGTTTCTGAACCTGTCACAACAAAGCAGAGACGCACAACATCCTGCATCTCTGTTCTGCTGTGACAGCCTCAGAAAGAGAAAGGAGGGGGCGGGGTTTGTCTTTCCCAATTGCTACTGCTCAGGGAGCAGGGATGAACAGATCATATTAACAAATGTAGAATATCAGAGAAAATGCTTAGGTGGAAAAATAAGAGTAAATCAGTTTTAAAAAGCGAGAGTGGCTGAGCCAGGGTGAGTGAGGCTCACTCGGGTATAAGACAGACCCCCCGCCACCTCCTTTTGTTTTTCTTTGGAAAAAGAAGCATGGATTGTTTATTTAAAATAATCAAGCGTGACCCGAACCAAGTCTTTGGGAACGAGAGCAGGAACAAGAATGCTGGATACTTTAGGCACGAGGCGATCAGACAATCTGACTGAGGTAGAGACTGGGGAGCGCTGAAGAAGTGCAGCACACAGGTGCAGCAGGAGGGAGGTTGGGAGTGACAGTTGAGCAGGAGTGTGATTGCAGTGGAGAAGTGGGCGTGGCAGAGTGGAGATCACGACACACGGTGTTCTTTTAGAGCATTTAGAGAGTTTAGAACATTGCAGGAGTGTTGGAAGGGTTTATAAAGCCTTAAAATATATATAAATACTAAAATAAATATAATGTCCATACTTTGCGGATTTTCACCTATCATGAGGGTGTCTGGAGCGGAATACGTACGTAAGAATGTAAGAATGTAATAACATACAAGATAAGTGAGGGACAAATGTATTGTCACTGAGGCTTCAC